GCTTTACACATGGATGCTTCTTGATGCAATCTTGGTGATTTGGAAGCTTGAAACTTGTGTTTTTCAAACTCACACTGGTAGGTAGTGTAGCGCTTTACACATGCATGTTTCTTGATGCAATCTTGGTGATTTGGCCTCTCCAAACTTGTGATTTTGACACTCACACTAGTAGGTAGTATAACGCTTCACACATAGATGCTTCTTGATGCAATCTTGGTGATTTGGGCTCTCCAAACTTGTGTTTTTCAAACTCACACTGGTAGGTAGTGTAGCGCTTTACACATGGATGCTTCTTGATGCAATCTTGGTGATTTGGGAGCTTCAAANTTCAAACTCACACTGGTAGGTAGTGTAGCGCTTTACACATGGATGCTTCTTGATGCAATCTTGGTGATTTGGGAGCTTCAAACTTGTGTTTTTCACACTCACACTAGTAGGTAGTGTAGCGCTTCACACATGGATGTTTCTTGATGCAATATTGGTGATTTGGGAGCTTCAAACTTGTGTTTTTCACACTCACACTAGTAGGTAGTGTAGCGCTTCACACATGGATGCTACTTGATGCAATCTTGATGATTTGGGAACTTCAAACTTGTGATTTTCACATTCACACTAGTAGGTAGTGTAGCGCTTTACACATGGATGCTCCTTGATGCAATCTTGGTGATTTGGGCTCTCCAAACTTGTGATTTTCACACTCACACTAGTAGGTAGTGTATCGCTTCACACATGGATGCTTCTTGATGCAACCTTGGTGATTCGGGAGCTTCAAACTTGTGTTTTTTACACTCACACTAGTAGGTAGTGTAGCGCTTCACCCATGAGTGATTCATGATGCAATCTTGGTGATTTGGGAACTTCAAACTTGTGTTTTTCACACTCACACAAGTAGGTAGTATAGCGTTTCTTTCATAGATGGCCTTTTATTCAACTTTGGTGATCTTGCCTATTTAGACTTTTGTTTTCACTTATGTAATAGCATGTGATGTTCCGGATGATCTTTCCTTCATATGTAAGTATTTTCCATCTAGTCTAACATCTTCATGCCATGCTCATGCTTAGTGTGATGTTCCGGTTGATCTTCCCTTCACATACATGTGTTTTTCATTAGTCCAATCACTCTTTATCATGTTCATGCTTAGTATGATATTCCGGTTGATCTTTCCTTCACATACATGTGTTTTTCATTAGTCTAATCACTCTTTGTCATGTTCATGCTTAGTATGATGTTCCGGTTGATCTTCCCTTCACATGCAAGTGTTTTCCATCTAGTCTTATCACTCATTGTCATGTTCATACTTAGTGTGATGTTCCGGTTGATCTTCCCTTCACATACATGTGTTTTTCATTGGTCTA